CCGCCGCCACGCCTGGGTCTAGGTTGCAAAGTGCAGCCCAGGAGGAAAGGTGAGGGTTTGGGTTCGCGTCTCACTTCAGAAAGGTTGACTACTGTCTCTCAAAGGGTTCGCCAAGTGGGGCCAGGAGCAGGGAGGAGGGAAACCCCCTAACGTGACGGACCTTAGAGGACCTAGGGAAATGAATGGGACCAGGGGTTAGCTTCTAGGCTGCCGCGCAACACCAAGCGGGAGTTTGTCTGGAGAAACTATTAGGCTGGCGAGGTGGGGACTGGCAGAGCCCGCCATTCCCCAGAACCCGAAGGAGTCCACTCCCTGCTCTGGGCTCGGTGAGAGGAGGCTAAGATGTTGGGCTCAGAGGATTCAAGAGATTTTTATCTTCTGGGTGGGGTCGTGGTTTTTATTTTCTAAGTTTTTTTTTTATGAAAGTTTGAAATATGCTGACTTAGGTAAAAGACACCAACCGAAGGAACTTGCAAATCTGGAGATGAGATAACTGATTGTAATGGGTTAAAGGGAGCTTATAAGAGCCTCTAAGGGCCTGGGTTCCTCAAACCCAAAGTGAGTAGGTGAGAAGTAGGTGAGAGGGGATTCCTGCCAACACCCAAGAGTGAGGGTCACTGGGCCATTTTATGCCTGTTTCTCTGCTTCCTGTTGATGTGTGCATGCAAGTGTCTCTGTATTTCTGGGTTTAGTAATGAGATGCTCCCCTCTAGAAAACTCCCTCCCCCCAATCAGGACAGTTACCACTTACTCTGAAGGCCTCTTCTGATCCAGAAGGGTGGTAAGATGGCCTCAGGGGCTTGATGTGGACACCCTAAGGAAAAGTGAAGAAATATCTCCACACTGCTTAAACTCTACGCACAGGCCCTGAGCAAAAGGAGGAAGCTGTGGTCTGTGTACCCAGGATGTGCTAACCTCTTTAGATACACACAGGGATTGGCATGGCAGGCCTCGAGAACAGGCTTAGAGCAGGAACCTGACACTCCAGGCCAAGGATGGGAGTGAAAGTCCTTTCTTTTCATGTGGGTGGTGGGATCCAGGAGCTCCTCCAAACCCTCCTTGTGAATAGGCTGTCATTCACCTGAGTTACCTGGCTAGGCTGAGTCCCCACAGAGCTATCTTTTCTGCAAGCATTCTGTAGGATTGAGCCTTTAGTGTATATTTTGGTGTTTAAGTTGTGTGAAAGCCAGTTTTCTGTTCGCATGTGACCTCTGGATCTTGGGGTTTCCAGATCCCATTCCTACAATAGTCCAAATACTGTGCTTGGAGAGGACAGTGGACCAGGAGAGAGGCCAGCATTCTTCTGCTGTCTTGGTGAGAATGCACCATCCATTAAGCCTGTTTGAGCCTCATCATCATCACAAAAATGAAACAGTGGAACTGGGTTGACTCTACAGTAGCATCTTCCCAATCTTCTCAATGCCTAAAATATCATGCTCATATGCGTTTACAAGAACACTTACCTGTATGTGCGCTAAATCCAGCCCTACACTGATCGAGGTTGAAGACACTACAGAGCGGGTCTAATTTGTGGACACAAATCCAGGATGTCCATTTCCAGTTTGAACTGCCTGATAAAATCAGGTTTGAGTAATTCTAGGATGTGATTTTATGCACCTGCATAGTTCTTCCTCAAATATAAGACATGTCTGTATTTCAGAATATCTGTGGGTCTCGGCACTCAGGTGATATTTGGTGCAGGAAGCCAGGGAAATCTGGATTTCTTCACAGAAGCCCTTTATTTTGTGCATAGTTTGCACAACTCTATGTGATTACAAAATCTCCATCTTGTTGCCCTCTTTATAAGTCCCTCCATATTATATTTTCTTCTCTTTTCCAAAAACAGCTCCTGGGAAGGCTCTGAGCATCACACTGGGAGAACCAATATTTGCTGGAGCCGTGCTACTCTTTTGTCACAGACAGGTTAACTTGAGATATTAAACAACACCCTACCCACGCCCCTGCTTCCCACACTGATATTATCAGTGTTAAAAAGCACATGATACTGTTTGCTGCTTTAAGAAATGACCTGGTTTCAAAAACTGCATCTTAGTTTCAGGCTGGCTTCAGTTGAATCCAGTTAATTTTATCTATGAATGCCTGACTCAATGTACGTGGTGCCATTACAGATGGAGAGACAGAGAAGACAGACATGGTGAATGAAGGTGGGAAATAGAGAATGAACGGTGGATTTGGGGTCAGAAAGCCTGGGTTCATTCTCAGCTCTGCTACCTAGTAGCTGTGTGCCTTATAGCAAGGCACTTCTTGAATCTATTTCCTTATCTAGAAAATGGGGCCAAAGCACCTCCTTGCCACAAGTCATAGGAAGAATTTTTAAAGTCTGCTACCTTAGCTGGATACACATTAATTGAACTTCGTGTGCCTTACAGCAAGGCACCTCTTGAATCTGTTTCCTTATCTAGAAAATGGGGCCAAAGCACCTCCTTGCCACAAGTCACAGGAATAATTTTTTACAGTCTGCCACCTTAGCTGCATACACATTAACTGAAGTTTCCTTTTGGGAATGGGCATACCAGGACAGATTGGTCAGAAAATTAGAACACAGGTCCAAGTTTACCATCATGCATATTTGATTAATTCAACAAATATTTATGATGCATCTATTATGTTGCAAGGCTCTGCCCTGTGTATTGAGGATAAAACAGGGATCAAAACCCTCCAGGAATGTAGACTCTAGTGGAGGCGGCTGACACATACAGGGAACAATCTCAGTTGAGTGGTGACATATCTTCTGAAAAGCAATAACGCAGGTTAGGGAATGGAAAGTAATGAAGCTATATAGCCAGGATGGTGAGGAAAAGCGTGTCTAACAAAGTCACAATTGGGCAGAGACACTCTCTCATCATCTACCTCAGAAGAGTGCAGCACCAGCCACACAGCCGGCCAACAATGGACAAGCACAGCAGGAAAGAAGGGTCAGGGTTACTGCTGGCTCTGCAAGGCCCTGGAGGGGCAGGTTGTCACTGGCAGGGCAGGGAAACATCTGGACAAGGTTTAGGAGAAGCAGCAGAGTGAGGAATACTTGGGAACAGAGGCTTGACTTCTGTCCTCAAGAAGGTATTGCTGCCTCCCTGTACCACACACACCTTTTAATCTCCAAGTCCCCTGGATTCACAAGAACTCCAGACAAGATGGCCTCTGTGTGTTGCTCTGTCCCCGTGACCACACAGAATTGCTCCCCTCAGGTAGTTACCAAGTGGAATCCTGTTTTGTGTGTGAATAATTTCCACCAAAAGGCTTCCTTCCAGTTCCACTGCTATCCAAATTTAAGTTTGTAGGTTGGCAACTTTAAAGCTTTAGAGAGTATTTAGCTTGACATTCTCACTTTATGCGTGGGGAAACTGAGATCTAGGGTGTTGTATGAATTGTCCAGGATCACACAGCAAACTACCAACAGAGTCATGGTGAAAGTTCAGGGCTCCGAACACTTAGGCCAGTGTTCTTTCCACTGTACCATGAAAATATCATTTGCTTTTGTTACATTTCTATGAATTATAGAACTGTGGAGGCAGTGTGTGTGCATTTGTGTGCGTGTGTGTGTATGCGTGTGTGAGAGAGAGAGACAGAGAGAGAGAGAAGTCTTTAAAAGAAAAATCATAAAGAATCTGGCACTTTACACTGAAGACACCTCTGGTATTTAATGACAAATATATACAAATGTATCACTACCATCTTGAATTATTTTTATCCTTAAAGAAAAAACAAATTCCAAATTTTTGGATAGAATTTTTACACAACTGTTTTCCAAAATAAATCCTTCTTTTACAGCAGACAAAGTAAACAGTCTCCATTACAAGGAGACAACCAAAAATATAGTAGTTTACTGAAATACCCCAGCCCCTCTACAGATCATGGGCAGGTAGACTGAACTCTTATTTCAACTCTTTTAATAATGGAATATTGGACTATTTAAATGAAATCTATTAGAAGGCGTCTTATGGATCCATCAGACTGTGTCATAAGTAGGTCTTGAATAACAACTGCATTAAAAAAGATTTAGGATTTTGATGTCTCTTTCTGTTTAGGGTTAAACAGTTAACTTGGCATTTGTTTAAAAAATAGTTGATTTAAACCAAGCCTCTTTCTAGATATATAGCATTAGTCTAATGCCAGTACTAAGTTACCCCCAGCCAAAAAAAAGAGTTGGGAAAATTTTTATATTGATAATTTTTTTGTTCTATACTTAAAACATTCCTTTTAAGTCTATATTTTGCTTATTTTGTAACAAATTAACTAGGCTAAAGAACATTGTCTGTTACATACACACAAACACGCACATACACACACAGTCTCATAAAACTTTCAACCAGCCACAATAGCTTTTTTTGTAATCTCAGAGTTATGCAGGTGTCTCTTCCTCTGCAGAAGACTCCACCCTGTTTCAATTTCTGTTGCTTTAATGATTTCATATCTATAGTGTTCTTCCCTTTACGCATTAATTGATCCATGGGATGGTATCATTAAGTGAGGTCACTCTTTGTGTATTACAGTTCTGCCACTGACCTCATAGACCCACCATCAGTAGCTTGTGCACTGAGATGTTTCCACAGAGGCTATGGATAGGCTTATATGTCCTTACACTATCACCTGCAGGGCCAATATAGTGCAAATTTGACAAAATTTAGGTAATCTATGGAATAACCCTTTCCTGTGCAAAGCTAGCTGGCCTTATGGGGATTGGTAATACCTCAGCCTCAGGGCACCATAAACTGACCAACCATACGAAGGTGATTGCATGTCTGTTAGGAAGGGACTAGACTATGTGACTACGTTCTGTGAAGATAGAACCCCAGTGGCAAAAGGGCTCTGCCAGGAGATCTAGTGAGAAGATAAGCCACGTCTGTGTGCCCTGCAGAATACAGCAAGTGTTACCATAGCCCTGAGAAAAGAAAGGACAATTTGAACTGGAGAGACAGAGAAAGACCTCATGATAATAGTTGTTTATGTAGTCCCTTTCATAAACCTCTTCACAGATCATACAGTCCCTTCACAGATCACTGGCCCATACACTCTTGCATCCCATTCTCACAGCAGCCCTATGGGAGATAATACCATGGCATCTCTACTTTATATGGAAGAAGTTAAAGTTCAGAGGAGTGAGGCAACTTGCCCAAGAGTATAACTAACAGGGGACAGAGTTGGGTTTCAAGCCCAGTGTTTCTCATTCCTGATTCCTGCTTTTTCTACACACACTGTCCACACTGCCTCTTGGCACAGGTGGATCTAAGCCTGGCCTTGAAAGATAGGTAGGGCTTGCACAGGAAACTATGGTAAAGGGCTTTCTAGGAGAGTGGAAGGGTACTTTGGGGAGGAAAGTGTACAGGTGATGGAGAGGATCGGAGTGGAAAGACTGAATGGAACTAGATTACAGAAGATCTTACATGCCATAACAAGGAATTTGGGGGGGAGTATGGCGGCTCATGCCTGTAATCCCAGTTCTTTGGGAGACGGAGACGGGTGGATCACTTGAGCCCAGGAGTTCAAGACCAGACTGGGCAACATGGAGAAACCCCATCTCTACAAAAAGTACAAAAATTAGCCAGGCATGATGGCACTCACCTGTAGTTCCAGCTACTAAGGAGGCTGAGGTGGGAGGATCACCTAAGCCCAGGGAGGTCAAGGCTGCAATCAGCCGTGACTGCCTCTGTACTCCTCTCTATACACGTTACAAGACCCAGGTTATTATTATTTTATATTATTTTATAATAATAATAATAACCTGGGTCTTGTAACGTGTATAGAAAGCAGGAATGAAAACTTGTGACTAGAGGGATGATCTACATAGCTGTACAAGTCTCTTAGAAACAAATCCTTCCTACCCTCTTCTCCTTAGGAAATGAA